ACAAGAAGAAAAAACACAGTCCTGTTCACTTGAGGTTCAATTTTTAAAAAGCAGTTGCAAAACAAAAGCTGGCAAAAAGGAAAGGGAAAGGATTTTTTTTTGGTCCAACTCTTCAAACACAGAGTGGGAACAATTAAAAAGTTTCCCTTTCCTGGTTTTCCACGAGTGTAATAGTTTAGCACGAGTGTAATAGTTTTAGTGATATTGCTTTCCTGGTTTAGCACGAGTGTAATAGTTTTAGTGATATTGCTGTTGTCCAGAAGGCATATTGCACAAACCAGCCATATTTTATTCCAAATGTGCAAAAGAAAACCATGGATGTATACTCACAGCAGAGAGTGTCTACAGGTATACCTGTAAATGTGCATTCAAAGAGTTAATTGCACTCCTAAAATTGTAGCTTTGGCCTGTCTGCCAAATTACTTGCTGTGCTTTTCAACCTTTGTTTTGAAAAGGGAAAGGCAGCTATTGTAACCCCTCTTGCACGGCTGCCCATTCCCCACTCTCTCATGCTGGGCAGAAGCACTGGGAGGCTAGTGCTGAATCCTTTCCATTGCATTCCCTTGGCCCTGAGGGAAGCTCAAGGAGACAGAATGACTATGGCTGGCTTTTGTGCAGCAGTGTCAGGCAGAGACAGTCTTGTACCCCGTCTTTCTCTTGTGCAGCCATAAGCTGCCATTGAAGCCAATTACTCGTATCTTAATATAACAAGAAATCTTATGATGGGAAATCTTTGGTATCTCTATAGTTACACCTGCTGGCTGTGAAGGAGTCTCACCAAAATGAGAGCTCTGAGAGACCATAGAGACTTGGTGCTCTTTGCAAAATGCTGAGGGGACTGAAAGGGAATGGTGAATGTGCCTCTCTCTCATCCATTCAAAAAAGCCATTTCTAGGCTCAGTGAATATTAATATTTGTATGTTAAAGTGTCAAGGTGCTATTCACCTCAACTAATAGGTAGCGCTAAGGCACAAGGGAAACACGGGCATTTGTTGTATAACTATACTAAATTGATAGAATGTTATTTAATATTGTTGCTTTCATTTGTGTTCCTAGAGGGAAGCTAAGTTACCCTAGACTGACAGGCCACAATTCTGTTCCAGCTGATTTAGTTCGGGTCATGCATCCCTCTGAAGGTACTCTTTGAGGTGCTTTTCTCCACTGTGGTCATTACAATATCCCAGGATATTTTTTGCAAGAATTAGAGGTGCATTTTCTTAGACAAAATTTATTGCAGGAAATTACATTCAGCTAGGCTCAGAATTCCACTCTCATTTATTTGATTACATTTTTCTCATCTTCTTGTTCTAACTTGTGCAGTGTGTTACTGTGTGTTTTAAACAGCTGTCATGTTTTATTGCAGGGTTGGTTGCACTTCTTCTCATCTTCTTGTTCTAAACCAGGGGTGCCCAAATTTTTTTCAAAGAGGGCCAGATTTGATGAAGTGAACATGCGTGAGGGCCGACCATTTTGCCTGACATTCTTTGAACCATTAAAATTAAATGCAAATTAACTATTTTATGCAAAGTTTATTGCAAACGGCATACTTTTCATTTCGTCACATGGATGACAAATCTAAACAGGTGTTAAATCACTCTGCCTTTCATATCTGAAGGCCAGATGAAAAAAAATCCAGGAAGCTGAAATATATGTCAGGAACTTTGTAAAGTACATTACATATTATTGGTAATAAAGGTTGTCTGTCAACTTTTAAGTTCAAAAAATATGAACAGGAACATAACACCAAGTATACATGTTGTGTCCAAATATATTTATAACTGATTTAGACCAACTGACATTAACTGAGATTTTACAATGTATTCATCTCAATACATATGGATTCGTTGGGGGCCATAAAAGATAGATATTGCCAAATTACCTGTGGGGCCGTATTAAACCGGAACACGGGCCGCAATTGGCCCCCGGGCCGGACTTTGGACATACCTGCTCTAAACTGTGCAGTGTGTTACTGTGTGCTTTTAAACAGCTGTCATGTTTTATTGCAGGGTTGGTTGCACTTCAGAGGTGGTAGAAACCACTGATTATATATCCAGAAAAAAGGAAGCAACTAAAGTAAAAATAAAAATTAAGTTAAAGGTAGTATAAAAAATAAAAGATAAGGTGTTTAGAGAATGAGCGTATTAACAGCATTACATCTATACAATTACTGACATCTGCTGGCAAGATGTGCTGCTTGCAGCCACATCAGCATAATTCTAAATGGATTGAGGAATATCATTGACCTTTTAAAAATAAAAACAGTTTCAGACATTTAGTCTGCACCTGTTACTTGTTCTAGCTTTAATTATTTTAATTGATGCAATTTATGAATATTATTTTTGTTTCTCCATTTAAAAAAACACACCTTAATTTGGTATATTTCTCCTTTTAGAACATAGCTACACACTGGTGCTTCAGTTTCTTTAAGTAAGCAATGGGAGGGGGAGACAAGTGAATGGGAGCAGAATATAACTTAAAACAAGTGGTAACTGATATGATATCGAATGTTTTACAAAAATCATAATCTTAGAGATTATGCTTTCCCATCAATATAATCCACCTCTTCGAGAGGTAATAACTAAATGCATGGAACATTCCTCCATTAATCTCTCTGCATACACAGTTGGTGTTAGTTGCATTGCTCAGGGCCAAAATTTTGTACTCTGTATGACAGAGTTAGGCCAATCTAAATCAATTTAAGTCAGCAATGTGCAGCTAACGCTTAGTGAGTGGGCCTCATGTGTGGCCCTCCATCTCAGTGGGCCACAAGTCTGTCGTAACTAAGGCGTTCTCCTGGGATAGGGTAGTTTTGGTAACTGTGCTTGAGTACCTACAATGTGCAGAGTGTGATGACTGAACCACAGCAGCACTTTGATTGGATGCAGAAGGCGTGCACAGCTACTGTTGTATGCAATAATCACGCACCTCGCTTCATATGCCCTTGCTTTACATGCATGTCACTTTAGTAATACTGGTAGGAAAAAATCGACATGGTCTGAAACCTGTGGAATCTGTCAACCCTGCACGTGAGCAACGAGTAAACAAAGAATCTTGTGGGTCACACATAGAATCCTGATGGACCAGGCCTGAGTAAGGGCTCAAAATAAACAGACAATCAGAGTAATCTGGCAAGTATATATTGTCTATCTTGACTAGAAAACAGTAAGTACAGCGTACCGTAATTATATCACAGTCACATATATTTTCAAAAAGGATTCTTATTACAACCAAACCTTTTACAAAATTTTACTTTCAATTTAACAATATATTCATTTAGGCCAAAAAAAGTTCATATTCATATACTATAGGCTTTTATAGCAAAGCTAAATAAACAATAAAATTAATACTAATCAGGATGTTCCTTCATTTTAAAAAAGGGTTTTAAAAAGAAAAGGGAGGAGGTTGGGGCTCCCCAACTTGGTCACATTCAGCCTTGCTTTCAGAAGGATGGAGAGCATTTGGAATTGTAACCCTAGCACTTGCTTGGTGATTGGGTTTATACTCAAATATCACTTGTGCTTGCTTAACATCCTGTTTGCATTCACATGTGGCTTGTTGTATATGGAGTTTGTCTGGGCAAAAATGAATGCTCAAAAATCAAATAGCACTGCAGAAAAACTGAGGCTGAGATATGTAGCTTTTCAATGTATACACTGATCACGCTTGGCCTACATTTTCAAAGTGGGTGGTGGTTTGAAGTGTCTTTAAATCTGAGGTACACCTTTACAATGGCTTCAGTTGCACATATCAAAACTAAGGCACTGAAATCATTAGTCACTTTTGAAAATGTAGGCCACTGATCTTTAAGGGTATGTCTACACTACCATCCTAGTTCGAACTAGGAGGGTAATGTAGGCATACCGCACTTGCAAATGAAGCCCAGGATTTGAATTTCCCGGGCTTCATTTGCATAAGCTACACCTTTACAATGGCTTCAGTTGCACATATCAAAACTAAGGCACTGAAATCATTAGTCACTTTTGAAAATGTAGGCCACTGATCTTTAAGGGTATGTCTACACTACCATCCTAGTTCGAACTAGGAGGGTAATGTAGGCATACCGCACTTGCAAATGAAGCCCAGGATTTGAATTTCCCGGGCTTCATTTGCATAAGCGGGGAGCCGCCAGGCTTATGCAAATGAAGCCCGGGAAATTCAAATCCCGGGCTTCATTTGCAAGTGCGGTATGCCTACATTACCCTCCTAGTTCGAACTAGCGGGGTAGTGTAGACATACCCTAATTTAGTACAAAGAAACAAATTATTTTACATTAGATCTCCAGTACCTACAAGTATTTCACAAGGGAAACCAAACTTCTGTAACATCTGCCATGTTTATATTTTTGAAACATTGGCATTGTTTAATTTATTTTTTCCCAAAGGAGAATAATATCTAAACTAATTTTAAAAATGCCCCGTTAATTTCATGGAAAAATACATATGTTCTGAACAGACATAGAAATAAATATATCAAGCCTTAAACCTTATTCTTCAGTACCTTTAAATACCCGTATTTCCTGTAATAGTAAAATGTGCATCAATTTATGTGCATGCCAATACATTAATTTTGGGAATTAGTTATCATATATATAATAGCCCAGTGTCTGTGAGTCTGTAACACTGAAATGCTGGCTGTTCCCTCTGAGTGGCCCGTGCTGCATGGGGAGTGCGGGGCCCAAACGGCCGCTTGCTCTGCTTGTTCCCCTGTGGCGGCCCAGCTGAGTGGCGCAGAAGTCAGGCAAGTGCCACAGCGGGAGGGGGAGGAAAGTGGGGCGGTGACATTTGGCGTGATAGCGGCTCCAGGCCCTGCCCCCTGGCCATAAACGTCTCCGCCCTACCCCCCTTCGTCTCCTGCCGTGGCTCTCGGCTGATTTCTGCACTGCTCAGCCAGGCCGCTGCGTGGGAGCAAGTGGCACAAGCGGCTGGTTGGGCTCCCCGCTCCCCATGCAGCATGGGGAGTGCGGAGCCCAAAAGGCCATTTGGGCTCCACGGCCCCGAGACCGGAGGCTCAGGAGAGAAGACCGAAGTGGAGGAGAGACCTGAAAATCCCGTCTTATGATGGGCTAATTGGCTAGTTTTATATGAATAGTCTACATATATTTGGACGGTATAAACACAAAGAATTATATAGCACACAGGGATCAAAAACAGTATTGGATTATGGAGCTGTAATTTAAGAAAGGGAATGAATGTTTAGGCTGAATATCTGGATAAACTTGGAATATTTAAAATGAGATTGGAGAAAAGCATACAACAGGGAACAACGATAGGAACGGTATGATTTGTTATCTTCATACAGTGCCAGAGATCGTTTGGTGCATTGCAAACAAATAGAAAGATAGGGACTTTTTCTTGAGGGCTTACATTCTAAAGCAAGATGAAAGCTATAAAGTTAGCACAAACTCTGACATTGTGGGGAGGACAAAGATAAAGAAATTGAGGTGGAATGCATCACTTTGGGCGAAGCGATTAGGAGTGGAGGTGTAGGCTCTGAAGTCTGCAGATAGAGAAGTAAAAATTTGGTTGCATTTCAAATGTCTTGTCCCTTCTGGATGTTGGATTGATGGGTAATGTGGAAGAGGAGTAATGTGAAAGATGGTGGTGGCGGCCGTTTGGCATGTAATGTCAGGGAGTCTGTGATATCCATAAAGACAATGGCGGAAGAAGAGAAAGGTAAGACAGAAAAGAAGGTGCTCCCATTGGCAAACCAATGTTCCCTCAGCTAATGTAGGCACAGACAATAGCTTTAATACTGAACAATATTACCTGAGGCATAAGAGTATGTCCCAAGGACTCCTTCTGCATATACGACCAATATCCTAGTTAGCTGGGAAGTTCTGAATACAAACGGAGAGGTATGGGGGCGGGGGATGGGAGAGGGAATTCAGAGGGGAATGGGTGCTTCCTTGTCACATGTCAGTGATTCACAAATTCTGGTTCCTTTCTACTAGCGTTTCTGCAGGGAATGTAGGGCTCTTTATTTTGAGAGGATTTCAGTGGTCTAGATAGAGTACATTAGGGTATAACCTAAGAACTAAATATGCTGTCAAAAATTAATACATTTCTCTCACTGTGGGAAAAAGCTTTATCATATACCTACTCTTGGAGATGTCTGAGCAATTCTTAGGGCAAGCACCAATAATGAAAAAATCCTGGTTCTGTATTCAAATATATGCATGAGAGGATGAGAGAGAAAAAAATATTCAATACATATGCCCTCCCTCCAAAGCCAGGAAGGAAGCATGTAAAATTAACTTAATTTAGTAGACTTCTAAAGCTCTATTGTGCTGTCTTTGCTGCACACAGTGTAGCAATGTCCGCTTTTTAAAAAGATATTTATGGGTTAGAAATTGCACTGAAAGCAAGCAAAGGCGACTCTTACAAAGGGCTTCACTTTGAACTTTGGCATTGTTGAAGCTTTTTCAAGCTGTCAAACTGAACTCATTATGTTTTCCGAAGCTAAAACTTTTGGCTGTCATTGTCAAAAGGGAGCTTGCAGCAGACCAAAGTGAGCACGAGGTCCATGGTATCCACATTGTTACTGTGAAATGTCATAATAATAATTTCGCAGTCTGAGCTCAACAGCAGAAAATCCTGGTCGTTTATCAACCCTGTAAAAGGAAGAAAAAGATGAGTGTATAGACATTCGAAAGTTGTGAAAGGAAGGGCCTTTTAATCACTGTTCCATCTCCTTATAGTTTTAGACTTCACTGAAGGTTCTTGTAAATGGCCCAGATTATACTATTACAGTTATCACCAGAAAGAACACCAGTGAATGTCACACTAAACTACAGCCAGATCAACCAACCCATCGTCACTACATTGCAATATATTGCACATGTATACTTGTACTTGAAAGAATAAAACTGCTTCCTTTTACCTTCTACCTCATTTATTTCAGCTGTAAGGTATGGAAGATAGTCCATACAGTACGCCATCTGACGCACAATGAGAGCTATGACCCCAGCCCTGGAATTGCTTTTCATCACCTCTGGGAGTGGTCCTTGGATATATGGCTAAAATGCCTTTCTTGCATCCACTGTTAACACAGGTGACCCCTGATTAAATTAAGAACAAGTCTTTGTGAAATTTGCATTATACAAGGATTCGTTTACTTCATATGGCACAAGTGTATTGTCCTTAGCATTTTCCCCAGTACACTTAGGCTGTGTCTACATTGGCAAGATTTTGCGCAAAAGGAGTATTTGCGCAAGAATACTGACTTTGTAATGTACAAAATCAGTGGTTCTTGCGCAAATACTCTGATGCTCCCACTCAGGGATAAGCCCTCTTGCGCAAGAGGGCCAGTGTAGACAGCAACGTTAATTTCTTGCGCAAAAAAGCCCAGTGGCTAAAATGGCTATCGGAGCTTTCTTGCGCAAGAAAGCATCTACACTGGCACGGATGCTTTTGTGCAAAAGTAAATCTTTTGCACAAGGCACATGCCAGTGTAGATACTCTCTTACGCAAATACTTTTAACGGAAAAACTTTTCCGTTAAAAGTATTTGCACAAAATCATGCCAGTGTAGACGCAGCCTTAATTTGTGGATATAATAATCAGCCTTCTCATGATTAATTTATTATTTATGTCTGGGGGGAGGGGGGAACCTCAGGACCGGGGGCTGGATGTGGCTCCCAAGGCTCTCCGTCAGCATCGGGGAGGCTGCACTGGTGCTCCAGACCCTCCATTGCCACGTTGCAGGGCTGGAGCACACAAAATCTAGTAGCCCCGGCCACCCTAGGCTCTGGTGTGGGAGGATCATGTGGGGAGTGTCTTTCTCCTCAGTTAGGGGCCATGACAGTTAGGATTTGGGGGATTTTTTTGTTTTTTGTTTTGCTTCTCACTGATTTTTCTGTGGCTCAGTGGCCCTCAAATCTGGGATGGGGAACCTTTTTTGGGTTATATCATAGTTGAGTGTTTAAGACTTTGTAATTAATCCTGATATAAGTGATTCTGATGTGTTCAAGTGTTTATGGCTTTCATTGAATTAATCAGGGAAGTGAGTCAGGCTGATTATAAGAAAGAATCTATATTTCTGTAAGTCTCATTGCTATGTCTACACTCGTTGGTTCTTGCTCAAGAACGGCTGTTCTTCCTCAGAGCGTCCACACTGCCCACCTGCTCTTGCACAAGAAGATTTACAGTAAAGCATGGTAAGAGAGGGCTTCTTGCGCAAGAACTATGCTCTTTTCTAACAAGTGTAAGCTCTCTTGCACAAGAGGGTGGTGTGGACGTTTGGCAGGGGTTTCTTACGCAAGAAAGCCCTATGGCTAAAATGGCCATCAGAGCTTTCTTGCACAAGAGAGCATCCACACTGCCATGGATGCTCTTGTGCAAAAGCACACGGCAGTGTGGACGTGTTCTTGTGCAAGAGTTCTTGTGCAAGAACCTGCTAGTGTAGATATAGCCATTTTGTTTTTTTTTGTTATTTCTAGAAGCCCTGTGCTCATGAGAACTGTGTTCCCGCCATGACATACCAGCCAGTGAATTCTGCTTTCAGTTATTTACTGACATAAATTGAAAGGAACTTCTCTCAATTCATACCAATGTAAGCGAAAGCAGAGCTTGTCCCATTGCTTTCATATGTGGAAGATTATCTTTTTTTCAAATGTATCTGTGATGCCTACAATACAATTTCTGTAGTGTTTTGCAGGAATTTGTAATAGTTGCTTTGGGAACCCATCTTCTCATCTTGGCTATTTTAAAGCTTGAAAAGCATAAATTTAAATGACAATTTGAGTTTAAAGTTGAAGACATCAAAAGACTATGCAGCTGTTGCTAGTTGTTTCCATTTTACAAGGTTCTAAAATACATATATTTAAAAAAAATTGTTTTCCAAAGTAAAAATATTTCAAATATAAAAAATTAACTATTTATTTCCTAGCACAGTAAAAGACCATTATATTATATATTTTGTTGGACTCGAAGGTGCCACAGGACTATTCATTGTTTTTATAGTTAGAGTGGATTTTTGTGCTTTAAATTTTCAAAATTTCAACTGAATAAAGCTATGGAGCAGAAAAATGAAACTAACTCAGACATTCTGTAACTTTTCAAAACTTCAGTCTTAAAGTCAGAGGCTTTTGTTCCTTTTGCCTCTTAATAACTTTTCCAAATTTGAGGGTATTTTGAAAGGGAAAAAGTAGACATCAATTATTTTCTATTGCTTTGGGGAAAGAGGAAAAATACCTGATACTGAGAAATTTTTTGTTTTTAAAAATTGAAATGGAACTAAAATAGCTTTTAAAAATATCATCAAAAGTGACATTTGCCTGTGAACAATTTTGATTTTTAATGAAAGCCTGTTTTATTTTATGTATTTAATTATTTATTGTCCAGAACATTTTTAGGCCTTATTTTTGCTTAAGAAGTGTGAAAAATCTCACATTTGGAATCAGATAATTTTGTATTTGGTAGATAGACAGCAAGTGCATAAGTTTCACAGCAACTTGTGGTTTGAAAGCATGATGGACTGCCTGAAGTTTGAAGTTTATTTTTTCTAATTAAAACATCAGCTGAAAGAAAATGTTTTGAAATGTCTTGTTTTCTTTATACATATAGACATAAGAAATATTATGATCAGGAGATAAAATATCACATTGTACTTACTTATATGTCCAACAAAGTTTCATCAAGTCATACATCTCAGATGGACAAGCCTCGGGAGATTCCATTCGGTCTCCTCTTTCAATCATCTGTGCAACCTCACTTCCTTTCATTCCCTAAAGCAGAATGATAAAACCTGAGTTGCAGATAGAATACATCAGCCAAACTAGCCCTTAAATATACGAGAGGGGTAGAGACAGCAAACATCTGAGCCATACCACAAACCATTTGTTTCATCAAGCTTTCTCAAATGGGTAGCTGGGGATTACCCTAGCATGGGACAATCACTTGTTGTAGGAGAATATATCTATCAGGTAGATAGGTGTGCATGCACATGATACACATGTGTAAAACAATTACTTTTCACTATCTTTGAAAAACGTGAATTGAAGAAAAATACCTTATATGGTTTTTGCCCATAGGAAAAAGCTTCCCACATTAGAACCCCAAAGCTCCAAACATCACTCTTGCTAGAAAATTTGTAGAAGTTCATACATTCTGGAGCATACCACTTGACTGGCCATTTTCCATGACTTTGTGCCTAAAAATGAGCCACAAAGAAAAAGCAGGCAGTGGACACAATTATAAATATCATCAACATTCAAATATGCCATGTGAACTGAAAAAATGCAAAGCAATGCCATCAAACTGTTTACACACAGAGAACCATAAAATAGATGGCATGTTTCCCATAAAAAGAGACATTTTGTAGTGGCATCTATGGAATTGTTACTGTTCTATTCACAGTATAGGAATGCCATGAATACCACAGAAAAGATAAATTTACCTGCAAATGATATTTGGTCATGTTTTAATAAGATCTACTGCACATTGTTCTTTTATTTAATATTCAATCAATTTGTCACACTTTTAAAAATTAAGGTTTCATATCATGTCTCATTTGTACAACATGAGTACGTAACCCAAGGCACATACTTCCTTCAAGGCAGGACTTGGACTCAAGAAAATATTTCTTTTTATCCCAAAACAGCAAAAGAACAGATAGCTTTGGAGACTGATACTGAGTTGCAATCTGATTAAGTTGTTTCTTGACACTCTTCTGTGGCAATACCAAGTTATCACAAGGCAACATGACAATGAAAGTCCACTATGCTTTGCAGTTGGAAAGAAGAACATACATTTGTCCTCAACTTTCACTTAAGGTCCCCTCTTCACTTGAGGCAAAGTGTGGGCTTGAAAAGCTCATCCCAAACATTTTAATTTTAATTAAAAACATATTTCTGCTGTTTGAGCCCCTCCCTAACACCAATGGTAATGAGTATCTTCACACTTTCCTTAATTCTACTGCTCATTGATCAGAAATGCCTTCATGAAGGTTGACCTCTAACTTACCTATGATGATAAATCTATTGAGTAGGAAGTAGAGGATGAGAGGGCAAGGGCAAGGAATGATTTGAATTGCAAGGCCTCACAGGCATATCTGGTTATTCACCTTAATTTGATAAGGAAGTCAGAGCAGTGAAAAGCATAGGGAGAATTTGGTATCACAGGTTCATCCTAGAATGAACCTCTCACTGGGGAGGCAGATCACACATTTGCCCCAGATATTGTGCTCTTCAGGACATAACATAGACAAGCTTTAAAAGGATAAAACCCTGTGATAGGAACAGAGGGAGCAAAATAGGAATATAAATTAAGGGAATTAATGGCAGACTCAAAGATCTCTGTTTAATCCCAAGTGCTGTTATATATTTATGAAATTTGGCAGACACTTCATTTCCTTTGGGTGTTGAACTAAACAATACCTCAGTAGAAGGATTTATTTAGCCATCATTTAACCCAACTGTTTGTATTCAATCTGCTTGTATTTCAGTAATCTGAACAACGTTAGGTTTAGTTTTGGTTGATGATGTTGAAAGAGTTTGAGTGCAAAATATACAAAAATGTGGAATGACACTGATATGTATTAGAGTGAATTTCTAGGACTAGTCAAAACTTTTTTAGAGGAAACTATTTTCCAACAGCAAATAGGGCATTTGACTAAACACATTTTTCAAGGAAAGTGTCTGCTTTCCATGGAAAACTTTGACTTTTAATCAAAAACTAAAATCTGAAAAGTTTTTGCCTTTAGCTCCAAAACAATCTTTTTGGCTGAAAAGTCTCCACCTCCCTTTCTTTTTCTATGAAAAAATAAATCTCCATGGAAGGAGTAAAAAAATTCCATGGAATTTTTCCCCAACCAGTTCTATCCATTTCAGTAAGGCCATTCCTTTGTTTTAATTACCTACTAGCAGACAACAAAATAACCAAAAATGTTCTGTATTTCAACTTTTAGAATAACTCTACTTCAGCTGAAAATATTCCATAAAAACATAATAGTGTCAAAGTCATATACATTTCATTAATCTTACCTTATAATAATTCTCATCAGAAGCAAGAGCTTTGGAAAGCCCAAAGTCACTAATTTTGGCATAATGTTGGGTAACTAGCAATACGTTTCTTGCAGCTAAATCTCTGTGTACAAAATTGTTTTCCTCCAAATATTTCATCCCCATGGAAACTTGATGCACCAACTCTGTTATATTCTTTTCCTTGACATGCCTGAAAGTTATAATTGAGTCTGTAAGAAGTCAGTAGATCATTTTCATGACTTTTAATGGTGCTATATTACAAATTCATTAAATGTTCTTCCTCACATCATATGGGTCATCTTGTTCATTTAATGTTTTAATAAACTTTGATTAAAATAGATGACAGAAGTGCCTCTTGAACAAAAAATAAGAGTTGTATACTCAAAACAGGCCAGTGATTGTGGAACGTTTGGAAACTATAGCAGTCTCATCAGAAAATTTTTGGTACAGAAGAGTCTTACAGTACCCTCCCCTCCACCCACCCTGTAGATTTAAAAAAAGAACCCATTTTCATTGGTAACTTTAAAAAATGTGAATACTAATCTCATTTGTGTGTGTGTGTGCTAAAACCTTATAAAACATTCTCAAAGACAACATACCGGTTTTTCTGCAAAAATTTATTTAGTGGTCCAAGTTCTGCCATCTCCATTACTAACATCCAAGACTCAGCTTCACATATGCCTATCATTCGGACAATGTATGGGTTATCCAGTTGCTGCATTACGTTTGCTTCTCGCAGTAATTCATCCTTTACAGCTGGGTCATTGTTTTCATTCTTAAGAATTTTTACAGCTACTGGCTTGGCACCTCTATAAAAAATAAGTTCAGTTGTGGGATTAGTAACAAAAATTTTAAGTTGAGCACGCACACACACACGCACGCAGACACATTTCTCAAGTCTACACCAACATTGATACTTCTAGGCTTATAGGAAAGATTAGAAATGGTGACATACTAAGGACTTTTGAATTCTTTTTGGCACTGAAAGGCCAAAAAGTGCTACAAAAGCATCTCTTACAATGGATGAAGTCAGCTGAATGTAAGATGGAAATGAAGGAATTATAGAAAAAATGTGCACATGCCCAAAAGAAGGGTCTTGTAAAGAACTCCAAGCCCTGCAAGCTCTCTCTGTGGCTGGGGAGAATTCCCCTGGTGTGGGTACAGAGAAGATCGCTAATAAGGCTGCCTTCAATAAGTCCTTGTATAGGGCATGTTGGTATGGTGGTGCGGGTACTGGGGGCAAGGCAGGGATATGCAACATTGTAGGTGATAGGGCAGCCAGGGGAGGCTGCTGTAACTTAAAGCACAAGGTCATTGTCTGGATAACCGTGAATTGTCACCAAGGAACAAGATTAGTGAACATGGAATGAAGACTCTGTTCAGCATTGCTCAATACTGCTCATGATCCAACCACGAAAGACTCACTTAAGGACAAGAAACATGTCCAGATTTAAAAGCTGATCATTCTTACACATACGGTCCACATGTTTCAATGAACCATTGTTAATATTTCAGGATAAAAATTCATGAAAATTGGGGAGGTTGCATTTTTATCAGTACAAACAGGAGCTGTTCTTCTCGCTTTGATTACAGAGACCCCAGCCACTCCAAAGAAGCGCTCCTCCTGTGAAGCAGCTATTGGGTAATGCTCAAAATGCGTCCGTGTTAAAGGAGCTTCCCGAAGGTGCACATTAAGGCACTGAAATGGATGTTCACTATACTTATTTAAACTGAAATGCACCAAGCTGTACAGTGTGCGCACTGGATCCTCTTCACCAGTCAATTCCCATAGAGAGGCTGCAGTGACTGGAGTGGGAGCACTAAGGGGACTGGCTCGTATGCACTACGGGAGGAAGCTAGAGACCACAAAATACCACGATGTACAGCCCCTCATAGAAACTACATAGCTGTACTGGGCACTTTTCCATTGTACGGGCTGAAATAATGGCTGGTGAGTACATGAAGCTTTCTATTTGGACAGAGAGGGAGAAATGTGTGAGAATTTCAATAGTGATAGAAATGTAGCCGTGTTAGTCTGGGGTAGTTGAAGCAAAATGCAGGACAATGTAGCACTTTAAAGACTAACAAGATGGTTTATTAGATGATGAGCTTTCGTGGGCCAGACCCACTTCCTCAGATCAAATAGTGGAAGAAAGTAGTCACAACCATATATACCAAAGGATACAATTAAAAAAAAGAACAAATATGAAAAGGACAAATCACATTGCAGAACAGAAGGAGGATGCGGGGGGGTGGGAAGGGGGAGGAAGGAAGGTAAGTGTCTGTGAATTGATGATATTAGAGGTAGGGAGAGTGGGATGTTTGTGAGTTAATGGTATTACAGGTGATAATTGGGGAAACTGTCTTGATAATGGGTGAGAAAGTTCAAAGACTTGTTAAGTCCCTGGTGGTAAGTGTCGAATTTTAACATGAATGACAGTTCAGAGGATTCCCTTTCAAGTGCAGATGTAAAAGGTCTTTGTAGCAGAATGCAGGTGGCTAAGTCATTTAGAGAGTGTCCTTTCTGGTTAAAGTGGCAAGAAACTGTTTTCTCTTTGTGATCTTGTCTGATATCTGTTTTGTGGGCATTAATCCTTTGGCGAAGTGTCTGAGATGTTTGTCCAATGTACATAGCAGACGGACACTTTCGGCACATGATAGCATAGATTATATTTCTGGATGTGCAGGAATATGTGTTCTTGATCTTATAACTCACTTGGTTAGGTCCAATAATGGTATCAGCAGAATGAATATGTGGACAAAGCTGGCAACGGGGTTTGTTGCAAGGGAAGGGTTTCAGTTACTCATTCATTGTATATAAATCATTTTGTCACACTAAATAAAATGGTAGTAAAAAACTTACTTTTTCATTTTGTAGAACCCTTTCTTTACCGTACCAAAGTTACCAGAGCCAAGTTCTGCGTCCTCCAGATTCAGCATTGCTCTGTCTAGGTAGACATTTTTTGGCTTTATCTCCTCTGGATCTGCATATGGACTTTCATAGACTTCTGTATCCATGGGCAAGGCCTCCCTCTGATCTCCTGCATTTCAACCAATGAACGAGTTATCAAATTATAGTACGTCCATTACTCATGGCAATGCCTGCTTTTACAACTACTGTATCCACAATGTAGGTAACCAGAATTGTCACTTAGACCTTTGACTTAGCTGTATGAATATTTGCTTTTAGAAAGCCCAGCTGCTGCTTGCTTCATATACACAGGGCACTCCTCACATTGGGAAGTGATAGGGGGACAGAATGGGGATCTACTTCATCTTTTTATCTGTGAATTTTCCTTTCTACTACCACCAGCAGTAGAAAGTAGGGATGTAAGCGACTAGTCAACTATCCAATAAACATAATTGGATAGTTGACTAGTCCCTTGACTAGGTGCTTCCCCTTGTTGCCTCTATCAGAGGCAGTAAGAGGGGGTGGAGCAGGAGCCAGTGCTGGGTGGAGCTGACTTAAAAGCAGGTTCTCCCCAGCACTGGCTCCGTGGTGGGAAGGGGAGGCAGAGGGCGGTGGGGACCGGGCACAAGCTAGGAATCAGCTGATTCCCGGCTTGTACTCAGTCCCAGAAAGCTACACCTCTGCTTTTTAAATGCATTAAGAGCTGGCCATCTCTTAATACATTTAAAAAGCAGAAGCACAGCATCAGGGACCCAGTGTGAGCTGGGAATCCACTGTCCTGGCTTGCATTGCCTGCCCCCTCCCTGCTGCACACTAGCCTTTTAAATGTATTAAGAGCTTGCTGGCTGTTAACCCTGCTGTGGCTCTGCCTTTTAAATGTATTAGCTCCCGGAGGCGGGTGCTAATCGTTCTGCAGTTCCTCTGCATATTAACTAATCGACTAGTTGATGGACATTCCATCAACTAGTTGATTAGTTGATTACGCTAAATTTAACATCCCTAGTGGAAAGTGTGATGTTTGTCATCACTACCTGAGTTGTCCTTGTTAGGACACTTGTGGAATATTTTTTCAGCCTTGTATACTTGAAAAATAAATAAAATATTACATATAAGTGAAGCCTTCCAAAGACAGTGTTTGTGGACACACTCTGCTTTGTGTGTTATTGTACGTGTTAACCTGTGCTCATATTTGTGTAATCTTGGGAAAAGCTCACTTATATGGGGACATCTTCTTTGTATGCCCTTACATTTTCCATTCAGCATAAATATCCACAGCCATTAACTTAAAAGCACAGTGCTATTCTAAAAAGTGACTGGTAAAGCCAGCACCATGAGCTTCTGTGGTTACTCTTGGCATGATTTCCAGATCCAATTTTATTGTCTTAAAAGGAACATGAGGTTTTACTAACTGTCAGACCTGTTCCAAAAGTCCAAGTTGTTAGGATCTTTCCTTCTCTTACATCATGCCTGGTGATGAAGATACTGGTAACCAAGTTGGGTGCCCACTTGCACCTCTACAACCTGATGTCTCAGAGTTTAGAGATGGGTGTGTTGGGGGGCAGGGGATATTCTGCACTCTTTTTCAAGTGGTACAGGTTGGTACGGTAGGGATGTGCAGGAGCACTGCTGGGCAAACTTTCCTGCAGGGTCCAGAGGCAGCACAGCCCCGCTTTGTCCCTCTAACATGCCCAAGGATGCATGTAGTAGAGACTAGCCCATAAGTAGCAACCATTTTAAATAGTTTGAAGTGTCTGCATTGAAATATTCATACATTTTAGAAGTTGACAACAACCAAATCATTTGTCTGACTTCTTAAGGGCATTATGCCAGCATGGGGCCCTGTGCTATTCCTGACCAAAGGGCGGGTGGAGAAATAAGCTAAATCCCCCATGTGCAGTTATTCATATTGTACCAAGTTCTCTGACCAGGATGCAGTATCAATGTCTTTCTGCTCATAAGAAAAGAGCTGAGTATTTAGTGGGGTTCAATACAACCTCAGACTCTGTGTCAAGGTTCCATGCGAAAGGGAGAGAAGAAGGAAGGATCCTTCAATCAAATTTCTGGCCTCCTTTTACAGACACTGATCCACAGTGTTCTCCACTACCAAACTTGAGCCATGTGCATGGTGTTGCAGTAGTAGCCACTGCACAGTGGAAAACAAATACAGCTGAGTAAAGCAAGTTTACCCTTATCTGTATATCTGGGCTTGGTGGTGATAATTATCGGCAGTAGGAGGTAAAGGCTTTAGTATTGACATAACATATCTCTTCCTACCTTGATCAGCTCCCATTAGAGCTCTGGTCCTCTGCAGCACATAGGGATTAATAGATGCAGAATCTGCAGGCAGATGACGATGCGATGGATATAACTGCAGCACACAAATGGAATTTTCAGTTTGCTTAAGAAATGGTGTCTTTGAATTAATATTTTTTCAGAGCGTTAGGCATAATGAAAGATAAAGGTGGAGAAGTAGAGAGAAAGAAAGGAGTCAAACCAAGCTTCTCTCATCCTTCAGGTTATTGCTTGTGTAAATATGCAGGCCGAACAAAACATATGCTGCTAAAGCATAACAAGGTACTGCATATAATTCAGAGCATTGATTCTGAGAGAATTAACTTCAATGGGTCATGCACAAATCTTATCCTGTGGTCATTTTAATTTACATGCAATTTTCGAATCTGATTTTAGTGTAACATTGGAAATCCTTGGTCTTTAAAAAAAATTGTTTATCTCCTAATTAAATCTCTGCAAATCCAGGCCACACAGACATTCTTTGAGAACAAATATAGATATAGATCTATCTACCTATAGATCTATTTGTCTATATCTATAGGCAGTACATATATTGTAGAATGGCTCCTATTCCACTATTTTGAGGAAAACGAAAGTAGGCAGTGATGACTTTAATACTCTTAGACCATATCTACACTACACAAGAAAGTCAGCCTAAGATACACAACTCCAGGTATGAGTCTACGTACCTTACATCAAATTTTTGCAGCTTCCCCGCTGTGGGAGGTTTACGGGAAAAACTCTACCATCAACTCCCCTTACTCTTCGTGATTCTGTGGGGATGGGCGTAGCATCAGTGGTTGATTTAGTGGATCCTTTACTAGACCGCTAAATCAAACCCTGGAAGACCAATCTCCCCAGAGTCAATCTCGGGGTAAATGTAGACCTAGCCTTAGGCAATTAAAGATTATGGGCCAGATTCTCTGACCTACTCTGCCCCCTTTGTGCTATTCTATTTGCAAATAGACTATGTAGAATTGTAGCGTAAACAACAAATAATGGGTGAACTTGAGCTCTGGAGTGCCACCATTGTCCATTTATGCCACTGCCCTGGCAGAGTGGATCTATAATCTTCCCTATGGTATCATTCTGGTTTGTCCAAGTGGCTGGATTGTCCCCTTAGAGTCATATGCAAACAAGCATAAATTAGAGCATTCTTGAGGCTTCTTTGACCTATTGCAGGGGTCAAGCTGGGTTTTGGCTACCTCCAGAATTGAGGAGCCAAAAAGAGGGTGTAAAACTACCTTCCCTTTTTCTGACCCTAACTTCAGGTCATGGGCCAAATTAGTCCTTTCAGACCCAAGGAATTAACCTGGGCACCAGTGACCAAGAGATGACTGAGTTCAGGATTCTGCCAAAAGGAAGAAAGCAGAGCAGCAGAATACAGAACCTGGACTCCAAAAAAGCAGATTTTAATTTCTCTCAGGGAACTGATGGGCAGGATCTCTAGGAAGCTAAACTGCTGGGGAAAGGAGTCCAGGAGAGCTGGCTGTATTTTAAAATAGTCTTGTTGAGGGCACTGGAACAGAACATCCCAAAGTGCAGAAGAAATAGCAAATGTGGCAGGTGACCTGCTTAGCTTAACAGTGAAAACTTTGGTGAGCTTAAACACAAAAAGGGAAGCTTACAGGAAGTGCAAACTTGGATATATGATTAGGGAGGTGTATAAAAACATTGCTTGAACATGCGGGGGTATAACCGGGAAGGCCATAGTTCACTTGGAGTTGCAGCTAGCAAGGGATATGAAGGATGATGAGAAGGGTTCTACAGGTATGTTAGCAATAAGAAGATGGTCGGGGAAAGTGTGGGACCCCTATTGAATGGGAAAGGCAACCTGGTGACAGATGATGTGGAATAAGCTGAAGTACTCAATGCTTTTTTTGCCTCAGTTTTCACAAAGAGGTCAGCTCCCAGACTGCTGCACTAGGAAGCACAGTATTGGAAGGAGTTGAGCAGCCCTCCATGCTGAAAGAACTGGTTAAGGATCTGTTTAGAAAAAGCTGTATGTGCGCAAGTCCTAGGCTGGATTTAATGCTTCACAGGTGCTGAGAGAGCTCGCTGATGTGAGTGCATAGCTATTGGCCATTATCTTTGAAACTTCATGACAATCAGGGGAGGTTCTGGATGACCGGGAAAAAAAGCAAATGTAATTCCCATTGTTAAAAAAGGGAAGGAGGAGAATCTGGGGAACTACAGTCTGGTCAGCCTCACTTTAGTCACTGGAAAAATCATGGAACAGGTCTTCAAGGAATCCATTTTGAAACACATGAAGGAGAGGAAGGCGATCAGGAACAGTCAACAAGGATTTACCAAGGGCAAGTCATACCTGACTAACCTAATTGCCTCCTCTGATGAGATAACTGACTCTGTGGCTATGGGGAAAGCTGTGGACATGATATAACTTGACTTGTCCTTGGTGAAGCATTTCAATTGTTTACCTAAAAGAGTGTGCTCCAGGAGCCAGTCAATGGAAGCAAGAGCTAGGGGAGGAGGCTGGCCATTAGGGAAAACCGTATCCCCCATTTTTAGGGGTGAGGAGGAAGCTAGATGGGGCTGGAAGACTAAGAGAAGGAAAGATGGGGAAGCCAGGAGGAAAATATGAAATCATGTGACCAAGAGGGGAAGGAGTTTAAAAGAAAAGATAATGGATGAGGCTACAGATGAGAAATCGGAGCTCTTGAGGGATGGTGAAGTGAAAGAGATTGGAGAGAAGCCATTTTGATGATTTAGGGACATAGTGTCGGAGCACATAAGGTCAATCCTAATTTCTTCTAGTTTTCCCATTAGCTATTCATGATCCAGTCAAAAGGCATTGAAGAGAAGGATGAAAAAAATGGGGTAAATGCCCCAAAAAGTTGTTGAGAAGCTATTTAGGAAGGATGCTTCTTCTTTTGATTGTGCAGCATTTGCAGTAGAGTTAGAAGTGAGGAGTTCCAAAATGCATGGCAGAGGTGGGCTCTTCAATATCAGAGAAACATTGAGGTTTTAAAAAAATAGCTCCCTTGTGCTCTGCATTCTACGAGCTGTAAGCTAGCACAGCATCTAAAACATTTAACTAAAGTTGTGTGGGTCTGGGGATCGTGGGCTGCCCACTACCTTAGGCATGGATGCCATTGCCATGTGCCCACAACTTATGATTGGAAGTTGTTCCATGGGAATTGAGGGTGCCCAGCCTGACACTAAAATTGCCTGGATTTGTACGAGTGTGCTAAGCATGCAAAGTTATGAACCCAATGCCTTGAATAAAGGGAAATAAGAACAACCCAGGAAACTACAGACCGGTCAGTTTAACGTCTGTCCCAGGGAAGATAATGGAGCAGGTAATTAAGGAAATCATATGCAAACACTTGGAAGGTAATAAAGTGATAGGGAATAGCCAGCATGGGTTTGTGAAGAACAAGTCATGCCAAACTAATCTGATACCTTTCTTTGATAAGATAACGAGCCTTGTGGATAAGGGAGAAGCGGTGGATGTCATATACCTAGACTTTAGTAAGGCATTTGATACGGTCTCGCATGATATTCTTATTGATAAACTAGGCAAATATAACTTAGATAGGGCCACAATAAGATGGGTGCATAATTGGCTGGATAACCATAGTCAGAGAGTTGTTGTTAACCTCTAAAAATTTGAAATGTAGGTCAGACCCCTTTGGAAATCTTAGATGTACTCTGTGGACCCCCATGTTGTCCACAGATCACAGTTGAAAAATCACTGTTCTATGGCAACAATGACCTTTTACAGACCCTCATGGACATAGTCTGTGGACGACATGGGTCCACAGGCCTGAAATTGAAAAACACTGGCCTGCACCATTAATGACCCAAGGGAGCCTTATTCTTGAACCTCATTGAAATTTCTTTACATAGTTAAAGAATCTATACTATAAATATTACTGCATCAGAAATAATTTCTGGTAAGTCTTTAAAGTCATTGAGCCAAATTGACTTTAGATACTTGCACACAGCACACTGAATTCAGTGAGAGTTGTACTTGTTAATGTGAAAGCAGGATTTGGACTTTCCTCTTGCGGTATCTATGAGACAATGTATGTGTGCCTGTATCTATAGTGTAGACGCTAAATTCCTTGTATCTTTGTAAAGTAGCCACACTATAAAGCCCTGTATAGACAAAGTGAAAACTGTAGTAGGATACTATGAAGCAACTCCATGGAATATTTGCAATTTCGTAAAAGAAAGGATTTAATGTTCTCCCTTCATTGCTGTACTTTGTAAATTAAATAATCTGGTAATATAAAAATGTATATAGGTACTAGTTCTAGTTATATCTGAGACTAAAAAGCCATTGAAAGTTGTGTTGTGAATGTAATACTATAACCATTTTGAAAGTCTCAGAGAGGTAGCCATGTTAATCTGTAACTAACAAAATTTTAAAAACAACAATGGTCCTGTAGCACCTTAGAGATCCACATGGGTGGATCCTTACAGCTGCTCACAACCCAGCTAAAGTGAAATGTGGGTTCTTCTGCCCACAGATAATATGGCAGGGCTAAGCTGTTAGTGGACTGAGGGCAGATCTACACTGAACCTGGAAGGAAGGCTTAAGGTACACAACTGCAGCCCTGAGGTTTACTTTAAAAGCCTATGCAGGAAACTTTTTCTGTATTCATGATTAAGTAAAGCCCTTTTGACATAGCTGTAGCTCCCAGATAAAAAATGCAGCACGATATTTTCATTTTATTTCTTTTCATGATTGGCTGAATGTTCTCTAGAGTTTGTACAATTACTGTGCTTATATAACAGGGAATAATTGCTTCTGCTAAATTCAGCGGATCTCTTTGCTTTTTAGATGAGGAAAGATTTTACGCACCAATTTTTTTCTCGTTCTAACAGAAGCTCAGGAGAAATGGGATATAAATGGGGAAAAGGCTTAAAAACTAATAAACTCAGAATTTCTGGTGGACTGGAACTTGTTTGAAACTATGAGCCAAATACATGCTTGATAGTAGTACATACCTGGAGCCAGAATCAGAAAGAGGTAAAGTTATGAAAGACCAAAGAGTAGTTCTATTGTGCCATTTTATATAGGACATGTGTTCTTCCTGGTTAGTGTCA